TGATCTATCTTGAATCAGAATGTTATCATCTATGCATGTAATTGTTATTGATGATCATGATTTGTTATAACTTTTCAGACGCTATGGTCTACTTGGATTGAATGGTTGTGGAAAATCTACTCTCCTTACAGCATTAGGTTGCCGGGAGCTTCCAATTCCTGATCACATGGATATTTATCACCTTACTAGAGAAATTGAAGCTTCTGACATGTCTGCATTGGCAGCTGTTATAAGCTGTGATGAGGAAAGGTTGAGATTGGAGAAAGAAGCTGAAGTTTTGGCAGCACAGGTGGGTGGCTGGCAGAAAGCTGTGATAAACTTCTAAATTTCCAACCTCTTTGCATGCTTCTTTCCTTGTTAATTTTTTTTTTGGGGGCTTTGGATTCATGCCAACTTATTAATGATTTTTTTTTTAATTCTCTAGGAAGATGGAGGTGGTGAAAGTCTTGAACGTGTTTATGAACGGTTGGAAGCTATTGATGCATCAACTGCAGAAAAGCGTGCTGCTGAAATTTTACATGGCCTTGGTTTTAACAAGCAGATGCAAGCAAAGAAGACACGTGATTTTTCTGGTGGTTGGAGAATGAGGATTGCTTTAGCACGAGCTCTATTTATGAACCCAACCATTCTTTTACTTGATGAACCAACTAATCATCTAGGTATGCTTGTGCTCCATTTATTTTTAACTAATTGGGTGTTGTTAACGTGGGATGTGCGATGCATCAATTGAGCATGTGATGCTTATCTATGTTGACATTGTTTGTTTTAAATTAAACATTCTTTGGGTTAAATGGCATTTTTACCTCTATACTTTCCTTTGAGGAGTGTTGGGCACCCTGTACTAATAAGTGTGGCATTTTGTCCCCAAACCATTTTTCGGAGGAGCAAAAATCTCTTTCTGTCAATGGATCACTAATTGAGAGGGATTCTTGCTCTTTTAAAAAATGGTTTAGGGGGGAAAATGCCTCATTTATTAGTTTAGGGTGCCTAGTACTCTTTGAAGGAAAATATGGGGATAAAAATGCACTTTAACCCACATTCTTTTCATGCTTTAGTAGAGTCAATTATGTCTCTATCAAATGAAAGGCATTATCATTATTGGTTGGATGGGTATAGTTTCTCTTTACATGTATGGTGTAAATATATCAGTTCTCTGAATGCCGTTGAGGCCATTATTTTGTATTTTGAATTTCTTTATGAACTTGTACTATCTTCTGGGTTTTATCATCTGACTGCGAGTTGTTCTTTCAATCATTGTCTTGATATGTATGTCGTGTTCATTTCTTTCTATGCACCTGAAATGAAACAGCTAATTATACTGAAACTTGGGTAATTAGGCCGGCTACTTGCTGTGCTTTTGAATTGAAACTTTATACTTGTTTGTCTTGCTGTATATTGAATTTATTTCGTTTAACGCACCTGAAAAGAAATAACTAATTATACTGCAACTTGGTTAATTTGGCCTTCTGGTTGCTTTATTTTCAAATTGATTGTGTTTAGTTTTTAATTTATCAAAAGTCCATTTGTTGAAAATTTATTTGGCAAAAGTTAGTTTAGTGGAAGTCAATTGTTGTAACAAAATTTATGTTGGGATTTATTTTTTCAAAAGTTAATTTGATAAATTGAAAGTTGTTTGAGTTATGATAATAAAATGTACTTTTAAATATGCAATTACTAAAAAAGACATTAATTTATCATAATTTATAATTGTTGTTATACAAATGTATTATATTTGAAATGTGATAAAAATTTTAAATAACATAAACTTGGATAGGGTTAATGGGCATCCTATATCCTAAAATATTGCGCTAATAACATCTTGGACCTTGAACTCTAAAAATGTGCAAAAGCTCCCCTTAACTTTCAAATTTTGAGCGCTTAAAGCCTTGCTGTTAAGTTGGAGACAATGACTGTTATTTTTGTAGTTGTGGCGTCTAGTTGTACATTGATGCAGCATTTATTTTGACTCTTAAAAATAGCGGCAGCTTTTTTCAACTTAATGGCGGGGTTTCAAGTGCTCAAGATTTAGAAATTGAGGGGAGTTTTTGCACCCCCTCAAGAGTTTAGGAACTAGGATGCTATTTGAACAATAGTTTAAGGTTTAGGATTTAGGATGCTCATTAATCCAATTTGATATTTTAAATAATAAAAATAAAAAAAATATAAAGTTTGACATTTTGAAAAAATTATATAATAGATAGTTCAACATATATTAATATTTAAAATTAACATTATTTAAAAGATATATATGATAATTTTTTTTATTTAAAAAATGTTTAACCAATTGGACAAACCTTTGTTGGTTAATAACAAAATTTGATATATTAATTAATAACAATACAAAATATAAAATTTGATGTATTAGACAAAAATTAGATAAATAGTTGAATGTAGATCAACACTGAAAATTAACTAAGATTAATTATTTAATCTATAATGCTAAAAACTTGATCTCTAATAATAGTTATTATTGTTTAAATGATAATTATATTTTTAATAAATTAACAATAGTTTTTAATGGAAGAATAATAGATTAAAGGGGTAGCCCGGTCAAACAATATCCCACTTTTCAAATCTTTTCTCAAGTTACTTTTTCAAATCCACATCCAAATCACTTTAGGAAGTACTTTTCAAAAACACATTTATCTGCGCATCTAGTGCTCAAATAACATGCCCCATGTCAGATGCTAGGAATTGCTTCCTGGATGTGAAATGTGGTGTGCCCAAACATGCCCTGAATCTTTATATTTGTTCAGTATGTTTCTAGCTGGTATCAATATTTCTGTCATTTTTTGTGCCTTTGTCTCAGGAATGACTTTGTAGTTATGATTTGTTTGCAGATCTGGAAGCATGTGTATGGCTGGAGGAAAATTTGAAGAAGTTTGATCGCATCCTGGTGGTTGTTTCACACTCTCAAGATTTTCTCAATGGCGTCTGCACAAACATCATCCACATGCAAAACAGAAAGCTGAAGCTCTACACTGGTAACTATGATCAATATGTTCAGACACGTGCTGAATTGGAAGAAAACCAGATGAAGCAGTACAAGTGGGAACAGGAGCAGATTGCTTCAATGAAGGAATATATTGCTCGATTTGGGCATGGATCTGCCAAGCTAGCTCGCCAAGCACAGAGTAAAGAGAAAACGCTGGCAAAAATGGAACGAGGTGGACTTACTGAGAAGGTTGTCAAAGACAAAGTTTTGGTATTCCGCTTTGCTGATGTGGGAAAGCTTCCCCCACCTGTGCTTCAGTTTGTCGAGGTGACTTTTGGTTACACCCCAGATAATCTCATCTACAAAAATCTTGACTTTGGGGTGGACTTAGACTCTAGGATTGCGCTTGTTGGGCCCAATGGAGCTGGGAAGAGTACACTGCTGAAGCTAATGACTGGGGATCTGGCTCCTATTGATGGCATGGTTCGACGACATAACCATCTTCGCATAGCACAATTTCACCAGCACTTGGCTGAAAAGCTAGACATGGAACTGTCTGCTCTCCAGTTTATGATCAAAGAGTACCCTGGAAATGAGGAAGAGAAAATGAGGGCAGCTATTGGGAAGTTTGGACTGTCAGGTAAAGCTCAGGTGATGCCTATGAAGAATTTATCAGACGGCCAGAGGAGCAGGGTAATTTTTGCTTGGTTAGCTTGGAGGCAGCCTCACTTGCTGCTTCTGGATGAACCGACTAACCATTTGGATATTGAGACAATTGACTCTTTGGCTGAGGCATTGAATGAATGGGATGGTGGGATGGTGCTTGTTAGCCATGATTTTAGGCTCATAAATCAGGTGGCCCATGAGATATGGGTGTGTGCAGATCAAGCTGTGACCAGATGGGAGGGTGACATTATGGACTTCAAGGAGCATCTAAGGTCAAAGGCAGGTCTATCTGATTGAAGCAGATACTGGGACTCCAGATCGGTAGCGGATATATTGGTTTCAGTGCTTATATCACTAATAGTGGATGTTGCCGCTTGAGTTGGATTTTTGTCGGGTGATGAAAGTCGAGTTAAATGGCAGAATTGGTTCATACGTCTTGGTCATTCTTAAAAACCGGGATGGATGCCCTCACCCGCGAATTAGATTGGTGCTATTTTCATTTTTCAGTTCTGGTTGTTCTTAATTAAATAGCTTTGGTTATTGACCAAATTTATGGATCACGGGGTTGTCATTCATTATGATAATTAATATGCCTGTCTGAATCTTGTACGCGGCTTAGAATATTAGTTAAATAAATGTTTTGCCGAGAGTATAGAGGTATTAGTTATTGCTCTTTCTTGATGTGTAGGTCATGAACACCTCAGTTCATGACGGTATGTCCGGTGAAAGGAACAATTATCAACAGTACTTGCTCATGTGGCAGCTCGTGTGTGGACCTAAAATAACCTGGAGCTGTCTCTGGCGATGACAATAAGCTCTAGAATGTACGCATGAATTAATGTGCCGAAGTTCTGCGTTGTGGAAGGGAGGTTGGTTTTATATTAGGATGTGCTTTGAGTGGATTTAGTTCTCGCAATATCCTAGAGAAACATTTATTTAATTACTATTGGTTTTACGTTAGTCACTATAATAAAATTATACAAGTTCAGTGCGCACGCTTTAGAATGATCGGTGCGAAGCACAACTAAGTTATATATTACGAGATATTCTTGCATTTGTATAATTTCTAATAAGATTGTGTTATCTTAAATTCATTTAATTTCATTCGTTATTTTTTATCTATGTCATTTTAAATTATTTTTTTCTCTCCTTTCATTAATGATAAGGATGAAGAGAGAAAAGTTAAAGAAATTAAAAATACATTTATTCCAAAAAAAATTATTAAAAGTAATAGTATATAAGATTTTATTTGATTAAATTAAAATAATTTTACTAGACAGGGTATGAGGCTGGTCGATGCAAGAATTATGGCTTTCTGTCGTAAAATCGTAGCTGGTAGAGTGAAAGATTGGATTGTATCGAAGGTGGGAGTTTAAGGGTGGAGGCCTTGATATCAAGCTCAATAATTTACAAGATAATCAATGGTACCGCAGCACCAGTGGTCTAGTGGTAGAATAGTACCCTGCCACGGTACAGACCCGGGTTCGATTCCCGGCTGGTGCAGGCCTTTTCCCTTTTATTACAGAATACAAGGTTATACCCTATCCAGACAAAATACTTCCCGCTAGTCGGTGAACGTTTATGCCGTGATACGACGGGAGACGTCAAAGAATATACAGCATTCTCAAGTTAAAACAATACTTTACTGCAATGAAGGTTCATTTTTGTTCATAAAAACAGTAAAGTCATTTTTTCACCAACTTCTCGGCACATTATAAGTACGTTGTGAGTGCAAAAGAAAACAAAGGACGTGTTTATGACAAATTGCACTTGCACCTGGTTTGGCAAAGGACGGGGTGATTTTTTTTCCCAATAACGGCGAGTCTGCAGGGTAATCAGAGAGCTGAAACAAAGGTACTGTGATGTTAAGTACATATTTAGCAACAGAAAGTAGATTAGATTAAATTGGAAGGACATAACATGATCAGGAGTGGGTTTGAACCATGTGTTTACAGGAATTTCCAGCTAACTGCATCACTTTCAGTGTGTCCCTCCAATATCCTCTCAAGCTCTTTCGGACTGCAAGGAATGGTTAGCGCACCTTCTTGACCAAACCCGTACTCTTCCGCCGCTTCCTGCAATAGCCTCAAGAAAGATGGGTGCGTTAAACAGCTCAGTGGCACCACGAATCTCCTCGGCTGCTCTCCGTCCTCCGCAATCACAGCAAAATGTCCTTCTTTCACATCTTCTGGGACATAGCATGACTCATTACCCTCTTCTTCATCGTATGTGTCTCGATATGAACTCGATTTCATACCCGGTAACAACTTCTTTTGGAGCTTCTCAACCACAACCTTGAGCTTCACAATCCCACCTTTCTTTTTGCTGCTTCTGCTTCTGAGTTTGGCCATGATGTACTGGTACTTTCTGCTGCTATAAATGTATATATCAGCAGGTGTTCGTGCTTCTGAGTTTTAGACTGGTTAGGTTATGCATTTATAGCGGTGATCAAAGAGTGACAGGGAAAATATGTGAGAGAAGGGAAGAGAGGACAACGTGGGAATGAGAGCGAAGGGAGACCAGTGCATGTGGGTGAGTGTCATCGAACTTTCAATTTACCATGAAATGTCTCTGTTCTCTGCCATAGTCATGTCTACCTCACGCTGTTAACTCTACCTCTCCGCGGTTACTCTTCCCGTTTATTTCCCTTTCTTTCTTTAACCAATAACCAATCGCCTTCTTTCAAATTATTCACCGTTTTCACAAAGTATTGATCTTTTTTTCTAATGCTTCCCTTTATGTTCATTCCGTGCACATGCATCATAATTCATACGATGTACTATGAGTCGATGACTACCCAATACACCCGCTTTCAATTTCCGTAGACATTTTAGTGTACGTATGCTCTGTTCATGTGCTCCGTGTTGCTCGAAATTAATAAGGCCACTATTTCTTTGGGAGCCGTGCTGTGATTTTGGACTTACGGGCAGTGCTACTTAATATTCGCTCCCAGCAAAACGTGAAGGAGCAATTACTAGGGGGGAAATGAGACCTTGCGGTTCATAAATATAAAAGTACAGTACTTTCAAACATCGAAGTGGCGTTCACCAACCTCAAATTTATTTTCTTTAAACCAGTACCAATGTCAGTTAACTGTTGTTCCACTCTTGAATTATTCCACATCCTGTGCCAGCCACTGTACATGACATGATTTTGAGCCATGATTTGCTAAAAAAATATGAGCAGCCTTTTTTAAAGTTAATTTCAAGTAACACGCTGCTGTTTGGCACTGTATCATGATAATCTTCGTGAAATAGTTCAAAATGTCACAAAGTTTGTCCTTGCACATGATTATGCTGAAAATATCGCCGTCCAAATATCCATGACCTGTTGGCCATGTATTTCGATGATCTGAGTCCGATAATGTATTATTTTGACTTGGTAAAAAGGAAAACAAGTTGTGTACTCCATATAGTAAGACTTGAGACGCTAATCAAGGGCTCTTGTAAACACTTGTCTTGCTAGCAAACGTTTGCACTTGGGCCGCGTAGATCCTTACATTGAAAAGCTCATATTGTTGGGGGTACTTTGAATCATCCTTCAATTTGAAACGATAGAGAAGAGAGCGGCTGCCGTGAAATTGACTTGTAAGTATTATCTAGTTTGTCCCCTTCACTCTTAGAAAGGCATCACCCACAAAAATGTTCAAGTTTGAAACCGAAGTTCAGCAGATGACGGTGGAAGATAATAACGCAGCCCTGACATATCCTATCAACTATGCCTCTCTAAGCTTCCGAGCACAATAAAAGACATGCCAAAACGTACAAATCTTGTTGACAGGCCTAAAGGGGGGGGGGGGATTATTGAAGGCTACAAAAAAGTGACACATTTTTTTTTGGCCAATAAAAAAGTGACACATTTACATCGTTTTTCAATATATTGTTTTATTTTTATGTCTTCTATGCTTTCTTTTGGAAGAAGAAAGCCCTGTGCGTGAGTCTTACTGTCTTGCGTTTGAATTGAGTATCAAGTTTGTAGATATTTACTCGGATGAGAGAGAGAGAGAGAGAGAGAGAGAACCAAAGGGGGGGGGACTTTGCAAATGTCCCGCACAATGATTCCTTGCAAATGTCCCGCACAATGATTCCTCAGGCTAAGTAGAGAAAACATGAATAATAAAAAGAAAGTGCAATGGGGACGCCCTAAACCATTGGACTGTTCGATGTTTATTCATGTTTTTCTGGGTATAATTAACAGGTGCAAGTTGTCAATCAGTTTGCTCTTGTGTTATTGTCATGCAGTTATCGACGGGGTTCCCAATTTATTGAAGAGATGCAAAGTCCAAGCTCAATTTTAATACAGATTCAGAGCAAATTGAGCAATACAAGCCGGGAAGGACGTGTACAAGGAACATTATCCATTGTCTTCTTCTTGCCATATCAATCATGTTTCTAATTGGCCAATGAAATTGCAACTATTCAAATCCAGGGGCAAAGATATTTACAAACATGATTTGACAAGGCTATCTTGTTACTTGTCGTCACTCGTCGCAGCGCATGCACATAATTAGCTTCTTGTAAAGCTCACAGTCGAGGTTAATCAGCGTGCGATTTGTGAACTTCGTCACTAAAAAAAAAATAAAACGCTACTCGAAAAAGCCGAAGTCTGATTCAGTGATCAGGTATTTGGATGATTTGCTGGAGGTGTGCAGAACTTTGAAAACAGAGAGAAGCAGCTCTCAAATGGAAAAGAAATCTCCCTATTCTAGGATCCTTGAGACCTTCAAATCTTATTTATACTAGTCTTAGTATTAAGTTCGTCCAAACAAAACTTTAAATCTAAAAGGGAAGGTAACTGAAATTTAAAGGATTATTACGGGGGGGTCACATGTTTATATATTATTAGAAGGTTTCAAACAAAAAGTTGTGGAACACGGATGCATAGTTATGGAGGTAACGAATGGCAAAAAATGAACGGGCAGGAAAATTACTTCTCCGTTTTTGTATTAAGTTGGACCTCCCTCTTTGTACATGGAAAAAGATCATTATTAATAAAATGAGAGGGGAAAAAAGACCTGGGGAAACACTTGTTTGAAATGAATGTTAAGTGTTCCCTTGGTCGGGACAATGCAGCACTGAACGGAAACCTGGTGTGGGAGCAAGTGTCGTGGCCAGCGCTGGAGAGATGAGTGAAAAAGTGTATAAAAGCGAAGGCAGGATTGAGACTTTGTGAAGGGAGAGGATAAGTACCAAAGAAGGCAAGACGGGGGCTGGAACGGATGGAGTTGATTCCGCTTTTCCAACATGCGGGCCTTCAAAGATCATTTTTCTTCATCCCCCTCTCTTTACTAGTCATGTCATCACTCGTCAGTCTTAATCACAATCCTCACTCAACACCCAACCAAAAAAATAAAAGTGACTTGGTTTCCAAATATCTTATCCCCACCCCGTTGCAGCCTCCAGCTCATCCATTGAGTCATCATATGCCATGCATGCTAAGTTCTTTTGATGATTTAAACCAGAATATACTAATCACAGGGTGCAAGGAGTAATAAGCCCGTTGCTGCTCGATCTGCCCTTGTTTGAAGCTAATAGGATTTTAGTTATAACTCCCATATTTGTATGTTCTGATTGAGCTACTTTGCTTTTAGAATCCAAGTTCAAAAGGGCCGAGTCAAACGATTGTAACCAACAATAAGCGTCCTCGCCAGCCATTGCTTGGTAAATCAAATACTGACCAAGAATCTTGCTCTCAGGACACAGGCAAATGAGTAGCTTCGTGTTTTCACTTCACTATTCCAAGATAAGTTCATGAAACTAGTGTTGACAGGCAAAGCTAGATGAAGAGGAATTATATAATGTAAAAAAACGGAACATGCTTTACAGCACTATAACTCATCTTGTGTCTGTTGTATCCCGATTACATGGAAAACTTTTAAGGAGGGATGTTTTTCTCCCTACGCAAAAACGTAATAAAACAAACACGAAAATACGATAACCAACTGCCATGATAAACAAAACCAGTAAATTCTCCCACTTGGAGTTATTGTCGGGGGAGATGTTATACGCACTTTGGAGAGCTTGAAACCCAGATATGCTCCTTACCTGCCCAACTGCAAAAAACATCCCCAGGTACTCATTCTCCAATAGACCCTGCAACATCAAGACAAGTAATAGCTTCCATAAGGACCTACTGGGAAAAAAATTCACTTTCTGTCTAGAACTTTCTTTGCCAAAAGCCATGATCACAGATACGGGCAACTTGCCTGAATAGAGTACGTGTGAAAGGCTATATAGGATATTGGATACATCCACACTGGTCCAGGCAAAGCATTTCGAATTCTAAAATAGCCAGCAGACAGCACCATGACCACCTGAAACAATATACATATGCATTGACATTTTGTAGAAGGCAGGTCAATAATTCTTTTGTAATAAAGGGAACAGAATTAAATATCGGTTACCAATTCAATGACATAAAAATTTGTTATTACTTTAAAGATAAAATAACGTTTCATGGGAAATGGTGCTCACGTGTATGCACAGCAGGGTCAAAACACTCCAGAAGGCATCTTGCCATAGAGAAGCAATGACTAGCACAAGTCCTTCATTCACTAACAGACACATGAAGAAATTCAGCACAAAATACATCAACAAGCTGAACTCATCTCGCAGCCCTATTAGGAAATAGAATACGAGGCTTGATGAAATAGAGATGAGAAACAGGAAAGGGATGCTGGAGAGGAGTTGCCCCAGTAAAAATGGTAATGCACCAGAGTGCTGGTTTGATTCTTCACAGGCATATACCTGCGCAGAACAACAAATACCTAGATCAATCAACTTTAGAACTCGATAAAGCAATGCCCCCAATCCTTGAGGGGGGGGGGGGACTACTTCCGCTACTAATACTACAACAAATGATGTGATGCTGATAAAATAATTAAAGCAAGAACAACGCATTTCCCTACCACTGGAATAACATTTGTTTTACCAAGTTCTTGTTTTGCTATACCCAGCAGAAAAAAGCCACCAACACCAGCACTCAATTATTCTTACAAGAATCACAGTGCAAATTTCCATGACCATAGAATTGCTATAATTTCACGACCCACAGAACCAATTTGTTGCATATGCATTCCAAAAATTGGAACTCTTCTCTGCCTTGCACAGCAAGTTAGCAAAACTACCAAATCATTTCAGGATCCAGCGTATGCTTAATGTCTATATCTTTACACATCACAAGAAAGAAAGGAACCACACTGCAGAATTATTCTTAAAGCAAAAAGCAACAGATGGCAAGACTAGAGTTCATTTTATTCAATATAAAACGTGTAAAAGCAAAACTCAAATTGCTGCAAAGTTTGACAGGAATGGTAGCAATAGAACTACCTTGATTTCTTTCAGAAGTGCAGGCACGCCAGCGATGCTTAGAAGGGAGCCAAATGATACAAATACAAAAATTGCTGCAACCCTAGTCTGCAATATACAATATATAAAATATAATTCATACAGTTTATAAGTGTATAAAGTATTAAAGACATAAAAAAATGCCAACACAAAACACAAGAAATAGCAATTAAGAGTGACCCTGATTGTAATGCTGAGACTAACCGCAACTGAGGACAGAGAATGGCCCAAACCAGAAAACACAGTCCCAACACAGAGTGTGAGAAGCATATAAAGAATAAGTCGAAGCCAATAATATTTCAACTCCCTTGACATGACTAATAATGATCTCCATGTCAAAACAGCAATTCGAGTAGCATGATTAGCTTTGCCTTTGCTTTTGAGAGCTGGACCTTCCTGAGAAACCAAGAATGTTTTGAGACATAAATAAGAACAAAGTTCACAATAGTAGCCCTTGAATTCAGCAGTGCAGGATATAGTCTGGTATGATAAAGAGAGTATAACGAGAAGTATAAATCCTATACATCAAGAAGACAAATCAAGCTCGTCATTTGATCTACAAGATGAAGTCCTCTGTCAGCATAAATCCCTTTACACTTGTTTGTAAATATAACATAGTTAATTACCCCAACCTGTAGCATATGCAGAGTGTCCCTAAGTGAAAACTTGAATATAACTTATGCCCCTCCATCTTAACAGAGGAAGCTCCTCTTCTCACCCTTTTGTTCCACCAATAGTATTTTTGAATTCTATTCTATCACCGCATCTCCTAAATAGCCTACTTTTACCCTCTCGAATGGGCCTTCTATGCTTGATTCAGATTCCACCCAAAATTTTATTAATCCACAACTAAATTTGTCAAAATGATCACTGTAAAGAATCGATCAAAAAACATTGCAACAGAGAGAGAGAGCTGAATTTGAAATATCCAAGTGAAAATATAACACTAAAGAAGGCGAGAATCAGGAATGAAACTCCAAATCAATGCTAACAAAGATTCACTCCAAACAAAGCAGATTGCACATACTTAGAACTAATGCAACACCAAAATGAAAATTGTTATCTGTAACTATATATAAAGCAACTTTTAAGGAACATAATTCATTCACTTGATAGCCACATTCATTAAATAGTTCAGAAATCAAGCATCATTCAATCAGTCCTGCATCTCCACAGAGCACAAACATGACAAAGCCACAGTCAAAAAGGTAAAATGAATAAACGTACACATCAATGAAATCCGATAAATATTGCTCAGCTGATAGCCTTAAAAACTTAATTATAATTATCAAAAAAATACCACCACTACCTTCTCAGTAAGTTTCAAAGTCATAGTTTCAACAGCAGCTGCATCTGCAGATGATTTATAAGTTGCTTCAAGTGTACGTATAGCAACAGCAGTGTCCATGTTTACAGAAGAAAAATCACCATTGTCATCCTGTTACCACAATACCATTAATTAATAAACAAATCAATCCCCTCCACCTTCCCCTTAGCCAACAGTCATCATAGTCGCAACAATGTTGTGATAGGTAAAAAATCTTTTAGCTAAAAATCACAATCTCATGAGCATTAGTCAATTCATCTATAAAATTTTCTTCTTAAATAATTACTATATCATTATCTTCTTGTAACATCAATCAAACATAAAACAAAGAAAAATGCATACTGGAAAATAATGTTGGCCCAAAAACAAGAAACAATTACCTGGAAGTTTTTGCACATTGCAATTATCCTGTCAAAATCTGTATTAATTGCACGGAGAAAGTGATCAGAAGGACTTTGCATGATAGGGCAAGGAAATCCGGCATTTGAGAAGTGCTTCATCAGTATAAAATTGCAGCAGTCAGTGATACAATAAGTAAACTATTCGTCGGCACAGCAGGTAAAAGAAAAAAGAAATTTTTTTTAAGAATCTTGTACACGTGAAAGTAGAAAACATTTTTCATAATCATATTTTATTTGCAAAAGCATAAAAGTAAAAGGCAAATTACCTGCAGACAAGCCAATGTCTCTCCAAAGAACAGTGTATTTCCATTTGAAAGTAGACAGATTCGATCAAAAAGGCCAAAGACTTCTGTGCTACTCTGATAGATGGTGAAAATAAGAGTATAACCAGTGCTTGCAAGTTTCTTCAATGTAACCATCATCAGAAGTGCTGAGACACTGCGGAAAATTAAACAAATTATTAGAAAGATGTTAGAAAGTGCCAGGCCTGGTTCATTTATGGGCAAAGTTTATTCCAGGAGGAGGAGGAATATGGGTCCAATACTTGTTACTGATTCTGGTGACTCAATTAAAAAGCTGAGTTGGCATCTGATAGGGCTGGATAGGAGGTTTTCAATGGTTGTGTGGAGCAGTAGGAGAGTAAGGAAGAATGGAAGATACTGTTTTAGGCATGGAGAAGACCCGACCTCTTGAAAGTCTCAGGAAATCTCTTCTTTCTGTCACTATTTTGTTTTTTGTTGCTTAATTACTGTTTCAAACCTGGCTTAGCTGTTTATTGGTGCAGTTTTGTCTTTTTTTGATCTTTCATTCACTGAGAGCTGTAACACCATTACACCAATACATATTTTTGGCATTAATAACATGATTTCCAGGTCCCATCAGAAAGTCGTGAGCCATCAGGTATTTGCTGGGATACAAAAGACGGTTTGGCAAAATATGCACCTTACAAAATTGAATACAATCAATGCATTGGTAATATTGGCTCACTTAAAAATGTAGCAGCAATATAAGGCTACTAATAAAATTGTGAGACAAAAATATCGAGTTGTTGAAGAATACCAGGCAGACGTAGATCAAAGTGAATTTTTAGATAAAAACAGTGATCAGAAATAGGGACCTGTCTAGATGATAAAGGGGCTCATCTATAAATAAGATATGTGGTTTCATGACCAGCTCCCTGGCAATGCTAATACGCTTCCTCTCCCCACTAGCAAGGCCCTTCATGTAGCAATGTCCACCAATAAGTTTATTAGCATAATCACCCAAAGACATTGCATGAATGGCATCCTCTACCACATTCTTTTTCTGACAAAAGAAACCAGGAAGTTGAAGCAGGGCTGAATAGTATAGAAATTCTCGCACAGTGAGGGCCCCAATTAGAGTAGTTACTCTCTCCACATAACCCTGTAAATGAAGAGGCAAACTTCAGGCGAAAAATCCCCCTAATGACGCAACCAAAAAATACCAGCTATTTAGAAGTTAGTAGAGAACAAGCTATGGAGTACATATGTCTAGAATCGTGTAATCACCCAAGCATCCCACAATAAAAAGACTAAATTTAGTAGCTTAGATGAGATGCTTGTAAACTTCCATGGTTAAAATAGCCTATAGAATACTAACTTGCTCAATCATGTCAGAAGTGTAGGTTTGAAATCCACAAGAACTATGCTGCCATGAACTACAGGCTTACATGAAAAAATGTGCCAAGATGTTAACACAGTGCCAATTCACTTGCGGAGAAAAAACAGTTACAAATAAAAGCACATTACTCACTATGACACTTCTTCAAATATGACTAATCAGAAGGTCACTAAGCCTACCACAACTAGGAGGCAAAGACAATGTTTCAGAAGGCTATTTTGATAAAGAGAGGTCAACAACCATCATTTAAATTTTTCCATGTGCCCTAGTAGTTCATATGGCATATGCACAATGATATGACACAAACAGGAATAGCTGATTTGGGAAAGACTGGAATGTTAAAAGATAGTTTTAAATTTACACATTCATGCATCAATGAAGTTTCACACTTTATTATCAACATGTCACATAAAAGCATGATTTACAGTGAGTAATAGGTTACTACTCACACATACTATTAGGCTAAATTAAATAATATAGACTAAAACAAAATGGAAAAAATAAATATCTAATAGCCATTGTGATAGTGAACTCGCATATGATCCATAAGGCATGTCTGATTTTACTCCATTCACAAATACTTCACCATAAATCCTAGCCGAAGGATGCAATCTTCCTGACAAAGAAAAAAAAATTCAATTAAATTTTGATTATTCAAATATACACAGGAAAAAAATGATTTAATGCAATTAATCATGACAGAAGCATGCTTCAAAACCTGCAATAGCCCGTAATAGTGTAGATTTCCCTGATTTAGCGGGACCCATGATTACCGTCATTGTCCCAGGTGAGGCATAGCCAGTTGAACTCTTAACAACCTTATCAGAGTACTTCCTTTTTCCCTTTATTGCAACAGTCAAGTCCTTCCACACAATGGAAGCTCCTGCAGCTTTTCGTGGAACTGCTGGACCCCCTGGTAGATATGGGGATGGCAAGGACTCACTGTTGAACTTTGAAAGAGAAGGGGAAGCCGGTGTCATAGCAACATTAATAGAATCACCTCCTTCTTCGACCCTAACATCAGTATCAGTATCATCCCACTCAGGTGAATCCTCAAACGAGATTGGTTGTCTGAGTGAACCAGGTTTACGCAGGTAGAAGAAGTTACTTGATGGAACCCTACTTGCTGGGCTACTCACTGATGAAGATGAAGATCTATAATGATCCGATTGAGATTGTATTTCTTCCATTATGTTCAATGCCAATACATCAAATGTTAGACATCATTTTGTATGTAGCAGGATACTTTCTGTCAGCTTAGTAAAGTTACAGCTATGGCGTCAAACAAAAAGGATTTATATGTCTCATAATGTCACATCAGAATTTTCATCCAGCAGATAATTCTTGTCTCAAAAGTGAAAAGCCTGCAATGCAGAACACCCAACAAAATTAAAATCGGGCAATGTTTGGCCGAATCAATGTTCTCAAGTTCTCTCATTTGTGATGAATTAGATAAAAACACTGACTCAGATATTCCATCATCGAGACAAGAAACTGAAGGACAAACAGATTGAGAAAATAGCTCGTTCTAACAATTAAAGCAGTGAAGGGGAAAAAATAAAGGATTTCATGAACTCGTAACCATATAATAGTTTTACTACTCATCCAGAGTCAACGTAATGAAATGAAAATGGAAAAAGACACAGAATTGGATGTTCAGTCAGAACCTAAAGAGAATAAAAGAATAGGATCTCTGCAGAAGCTCAATAACAAGAAGGGGCAGGAAGGGATGGTGGGGAGAACACATAAAATCCAGCAGAGAATGCACGCATGCCCTTTTTCTCCGTTAGCACAAGACGTGTAATCGATTGACATTTAAGGGGCAACAAAGTAGCCGAAAGATCAACCCTTGTATTATGAATAAGCCAATGGATAAGAAACAGAAGATACAAGGCGATGCTCTTGACTAGTTCTAATAGACCTCTCAGATGGAATGAAATCTTATTTCACCACAACGAAAAACAGAAACGAATCTTGAACACACTGACCAAGGAGAGGAAAGAAACAAGAAACAACATGAAGGTTTCTCAGTTAAGCTAAGCTGAGGAATGAAATAAAATGCAGAAAGCTTTCACCTGAATGAAGCTTCAAGCTTATAGAAATGAATGGGAAAGGCAGCAAGGGCCAACCTGGATCTAGTCAAGAAGAGAGCAGAGAAAGTGAAAAAGCTTCGGGAGAAGTGTCTAAGTGAAGGGAGCGACGGAGAGAGGAAGGAGAAATGGATACTTGTAATGAGCGGGTGACTCGACCCGCCTGTTTCGGGTACATTTTTCTTCAAGCTTTTCTTTTCCTGGCTTTTTGCCCTCTTGGAAAGACGAAGTGTAATGATATTGGCTTGCAGCGCCACCGCTTCAGTTGCAGCCCACAGTGGACCCGAAATTGATGACATCCCCATCTTCAGCTAATGACGATTCCATAATTATTAAGAGGCGTTATTCAAAAGAGTCAATACCGAGCCTTAGATCAGTCCGTTTTCTTGTTTTGCTTCTTTTGGCAACGCATGAATTTATGAAGTGTTTCGGGGGTACATGATTCAAGGAGACACCAGGTTGCCCAAAATGATGTGCCATGTGGAGCACTCGAGTCCTTTTGCTGCTCATTCCAATGCAAATGATGGTCCCTGTGGCCAACAAAATCGCTTCTTGCCTTCGACCCTTCGTCATGTCCTCTCATTTTATTGGACATTCCATGATCATCATTGTTGAAAGTTAAATTGTTAACTGTAAATCAAATACAAAGTAATCCTTCTTTTTTTTTTTTGAGACATCTGTCCTTCTATTTCAACTTATATGACAAATGCCAGTACAGCACAATAATAACAAGTTCTAAATTTACTTTTTCAAAATAAAAGTATAAAATTAAAAAAAAAATCCTTACAATATCATTTCAATTCTTTTTTATTTAAAAGATAATATTATAAAAATATCATTGATAAAATTTAAAGTCTTGTTTGATGCTTAGAATTGGGCTCATTGGAAACATGAACGGAATTGAACTTTCCATGCTTTAGCATGCATCAATCTAGATTCCTCGTGGAATCCAATTCTGCCAAAAAAGCCATAACCTAGTTTCATCATTCTCTTGATGGAATAGTGCTAATTCCATGGAATTATCGTGACTACCTCCCCTTCATTGCCTACAAGTCCCACTGGTAACCCTCTTGCCTTCTTCCTATCATTGGGTGACTCCAATAATAATGCCAACGCTGATGATTACTCTTCGTTTTACTTGCAAAGAGCTCTCAGTGCTACAGCGTTATCTCCCTTCTGATGCTGCCGTTATTGGAAGGGATCTATGGCTCCAGCTTCGGGACTGGCACTATTGGCATCTACAAGTTGTCCAGTCTCACTCTGGTCACCTGTTGCACCATTTGACTGAAGTTCATCGGGTCCACTGTTATGAATATCATCTGCGACCTCTTTGACGTGCGTGACTTTCACTTCAAGCTCATCGTATCAGGGTTGACAAGGTTTAGGAATGCGAAAACTTTATTCGAGGAGGAACTGGAGAGGGATTTATGGAGAGCTGTAGTGAGAGCTTCCTGGTCGCAAGCAGATGTCTACCAACACTGCCTTGCAAATCATACATGCAGCAGAGGTGGTCGTGGATGTGGTTGAAAGCAAAAGATTGGGATGAGTTAAAAAAATAGAAAAGAAAAGAAAGGGGTACTTTGGCCCTTTCCTATTTTAAGTAAATATGCTTATTAATATCTTATCAAGATTTCGTCATTATATTGAACATACTTTTAAAACTTAATTTTATTTAAATTTTTATTTAAATTTTAATTTCACCAAAAAATCTTATATCATGCTTGATGGGCCTTGTTGTTTTCAAATTATTTTATATTTTGAGATAATAATTTTTTTAAAATTATTTTATAATTTGAGATGTATTGAGTATTTATTTAATGAATTTCAATAAATGATTATATTTTCATTTTACCAGAATGCAAACATTTCACGTTTAAATATGTATCAGAAAGCGCAGGAGCGGCGCAGATGTTCATCCATGGTAATCATGATTTTGAGAGACAAGGCTTGTTTCGCAAGTAAAGGGGATGTCCATCTTCTGGCTGTTCAATTGTTAATTATTATCGTTTATCAGTCATTCTTTGTAAAAAAAAAAAAATTAAGAACGGGGAAAAGGCCCAAAACAAACAGACACTCAAAAGGCAATCTCTCTTGAGCCAGACGCGCCTATTTATCAGTCGTTCCAATGCTTAGCAGTTCCTTGTCATAAGATACAAATGCCACCTCTTACAGTCTTAAATGTAAAGCTTAGTTAACTAATTTATGGAGATTAATAAAATTGGTTAAATTGATTATTTATTATAATGTGAAATTTGTGTATCATTTTTTCTAAAATCCTCCTGTTTTAACTAGGACATTAATTATTAAATGTGAGATATAAAAAATCTTCACAATTCAATATACTTACTTGAATAATTAGTTGGGCTGCTTATTGAATTCATATGCATGACCATCAACTGATTTGCATGTTCTTGGCTAACTGATTTGGATTATCGCTACCAAAAAGGGATTGGGATTTTCAGGCCCCTTTAATCGGCCCAACTGAAAAAAATAAAATGAAAGAATACATGATGGTCCCTAATCAATGTCCTGTATCCCTGGTCTCTTTTCCCTTTTCACTTTATTTATTTTTTTTAATTATCATACGAGACAATTCGAACACGTCCTATTTGATCGATACCTGTATTGACTAAGCACGTCTTGTATATTTAAATAAAAAAATCAGGTTATTGAGAATTACTCTATGATTGGTGTTGTCTTGTGTATCAACTTAAAAGTATGAACGTCAAAAAATTAAAAACAAAACAAAAAAGAATTAGAGAGCCGTGTCAAGAGAGATGAATATAGTAAGTCTTGAATGCTAAATAACAGTAGTAGGTGAAAGATGAGCTATCCATGCACCTCAAAACAAAAGTAGTTAAATTCAGATATTATACGACTTGAATTCATATAAAAACCCTTCATTTAGATAAACAGTATTGATTGCTTGTTTTTTGCTCTCTTTAAGTGATCACGATATATACTAGTTATTGTGACAGATCAGGGGATTACAAGCATATAACGTAATGCTTTCACAATCCGCCTGCTCCTTCCATGCCGGTGGCTCAAAACAATCAAAATACACATATCATCCCCCTTTGTGAATCTCTGGCTAATGTCTCATGCATTAGTTGCCGCATCAGAATCAGGAATCCTTCAAAACTGTGATCGGCGATACATGATATATATATCTATCACCCAAAAAAAAAGTCACACCGGATACTTTTGAGTTTCTCAACCATGCATATACAAAGAAGTAAAGTGTCACTTATGCAGCAAGAGATGCTGACAAGTCAAGGTTTCTTGGAATGCATTCCGGAGCAGCCGCCGGAGCTTAGCGTGTTGTAGTTGACGAATCTGCTGGGAGCAGAGTTATGCCTGAACCCTTTTGGCAAGCAATCCTTCACCTGTCTGCTCTGGAAGACTCTGTCTTTGGGATCCAACCTCGGCATCAAATAAGTCTGGGCTTCTGGTGATGAAACCAGTGGTCTTGTAACAGTACTGGGAGCACTCGGGGGAATGATTCGTCCTCCCACGGCTACGTGTAGAGAATTGAGAGAAAGGAGAAGACAGAGGACCAGAAGGGAAAAACACGTAGCAGACATTTAGATTAGCTGATGCGTTCTGCACTACGGTGTGGGAGTGTATGACCGCAGGGAAGATAGTTTTATAAGAGGCTTTCATGCGAGAATGTGAAGTGCCTTCATTAATAGGCTCGTGAATGGATGCTGAAGGCAGATACGCACAGCTAATTGCTAGTACGTCATTACTTAGGGGCTGTGGTGGTGGTGAGTTATTGGTGAGGTGGGTGCTCTACTTTTTGTCGGAGCTCCAGGTGAGGAAACTCGTGAGTTCTTGTTATTGCACTCTTTCAAATCTATCCCTGGTTCATGATTCATCCCACATGAAAAAAAAGGGGGGGGTAAATGATACACTCGAAGACGAGCCTCCTTTCTTTCCAAATGTAACCAATCTGGGGAACCAGTTCATTTAAAGAACATTGAAAAGTAAATCAAATCTAGTTGAGTTTCTTACATCTCCCCCCGTGGCCGGTCATCAGTCATGTGAATGATTAAAAATAAAGCGAGAGATTTATCAGGACCATACCATACTCCGAAAGAATAGCATTGATCTCGTTAAATCATTGGTTGAAAATAGAAAATAAGCCTCATGAATGATCGATGCTATAATTCGGGGTGTTAGCTTTGCTTCCCATCCACAAGCTTGATCTTCTTAATTAAGCCTCCATTTAATAGCAACCCACCCACAAGGTTGTCATGTCATAATTGGGACGGAAAACTCAGAGATGGATTGATATTACATACTGATATGGGATTCAATGTTAGAGTAGGAAGGCATTGTAGTGGGATGGATTAAGTTTGGTGTGAAATTGAAAACAGGCGGAGGGCAAGCTTCGGGTGTGACAAGTGAGGGTCATAAGTAGGGAAAACTAAAAAGGAAATAAGAATTGAGATTGTTTGTTGGAAAGAGGATTGGAGAAAAGAAAAGGCAGAGAGGGAACATTTATGAAACGGGAGATGCAATAAATAAGAACACCGAAGGGACGGGTGAGAGAAGAGAGATGGGGTTTGCATGTGAGGGAGTGAGATTAAATTTGATGATTAAAGAGAGGGGCGCTCCTTAATGCCATTGATGAGGAATGAGAAATTTAGAAAGAAACCGCACAAGCATTACAGGATTTACTTTCTTCACGTGAAATCCCGTCCCGTGTGTATGTGGACCAATCATACCCCCCCAATTTCCTCCCATCTCTTTTCAAAATCTCTGCTTTCTGGGCCTCACTTGGCCCAATGGCCCCTATACCCCAAAAATATACTACACACCCTGCCCATTCCCCTCACATTCGCTCTCGGGATCTTGTTTTCCAAGAAAAAAACCAAGTCTCTCATCAATAAAATTTATGCCACTTGACAATACCAATATACACGTAATATAATTTTGGCAAAAACAATCTTTCAATCCCCGTGTTTTACAAAACTTTTTAATTAGTCCCTATCGTTGTCTCTGTCAGCTCCGTTTGTCCTTCGAATTTCACACACCAGCAACCCATCCTTATATGCATACCACTTGGAAGGAAAGTGTTTTCTGTGGCTGACGTTTAATTCTTACATCGAATAAAATAAGATGCCGCACATGCTACGCCCAAGAAAAAAATGTATAACAAATAAAAAAGATTGCGTTAAACTAGCAAAAGTGGACGAGCAAGTTAGCAGGGTTCGAACCTTAAATGTGAAGGAATGATCTCAAAGAAGATCAATGAAAAAGGGACATAGTGAAGAAAGCTTTATATATATACTTTGAGGACCGGCTTCTTAAGTCTGCAACTAGAGGGACCTGTGTTTTTCCTTTCCTTTTGTTCCCCCCCCCCCCCCTGTAAATTTAGAACAGTTACCTTTATTGATGCCATTGTATCAGTATGTTCTTTAAAATTACCGATGTATCGCAGGCAGTTATAAATGTCACCATTTTGTTCCTTTTATGCAATTTTATAATCTATCAGATAAATTTTAATAAATCATACTCAATTCCATATAAACTCTGATTCTTATATCTTTCGAACGGTAATTTTAAAAGCGTTAAACTGATTATAAATTGCAAATCCATATGATAGTACAGAATTCAATTGTCATGTCAATATCTTCGTTATTTCGATCCACATATTGAGCTTATGTTTAGAATATTTTAGCTATGAGTTAAAATTTTAAAAAATTGAAAGAAGAAAATAAATTGTTTTAAAGATTTAAAAAAACATAATAAAATTTGAATGAAAGTATTGATGGGACATCCCCTGCTCATCCCCTGCTCAGCTATGTGATGAGCGCACAGCACTCATCAAGTAAACGGTGCCTTGTTTTGAGTGATGTAGGGAAACCAAACCACGCTCTTCTTCCTTATTTTGATTTTGCTCAAGGACTTAGCCCAAAAAAAATCAGAAAAAGAAAAATAAAAATGGAAGGAAATAGTCATTGGGACTTTTTTCGTGAGACCTACCTGTATGACTTATGGACTTGTATTTTTTTTTTTCCCAATAAGTTCATTGATCCAAAAACTACAGCCCCACGTGTATCTTCATCTTTCAATTGTATATAATATAAATAAGAAATAAAAGTATCTTAATATGAATAAAATTATATAATATTGTTGTTTAAATTTAAACTTATATAGGAATTACACAAATTAGATTTTGACTCATTATTTTAATTCAGGAGAAAATGAAATTTGTAGCTCCTTAGTATATTTGCAGCAGTTATTCCTTTGATTCCTTAAATTTATTTTTTTGTCATTCTTTTACATTTTTTAAATAATCAAATAAGAGAAAATAAAAACATCAAATAACTTACAAAAAATGAATAGTTCTCATTTAATCACAAATGCATGTCAAATTATTAATATATTTTATACATTGGTTTAATTTAAGGGTCAGTTTATATTTTATAACTTAGAAGACCAACATTATAATTTAAAAAAACAAAATATTATATTAATAGAAAATTAAACTCGAGGAACAAAAGTAAATTTAAGAAGCTAAAAATTTTATTATTATTTAAATTTATGTGGGTATAAACAATCTTCACATAATGAATTTTTCTTTACTCTTTACGGACTATAATATATGACATTTTTTAAAAATTTTATTTGATACAAAATATAGAACATTAGGTAATTTTTATAATTATTTTTCTAACTATATCCCTTATTTTATGTATTATTCTTTTTGAAAAAATAATATATTAAAATTTTAATTACTATTATCAAATTAATTATATAGGCTATTTAATGAGGGTAAAATTAAAAAATATAAATATATTTAAGAAATTAAGATTTTAACTAATATTCTTTTAAAACCATGTATTAGTTATTAATGTTCTATATTTTAATTCAGAGAGAGTATTTTTTTAACATGTATGGGAAACAAATTATAAAATATTTTGCATGGCAATAAAGTAAATTGTTCTTTACATTCTCAATAGGGAAAATGAGAAAAAATCTCTATTTTATTTTATTTTTTTTGCAAATTGTTCTTTATTTTTTAAAATGTATGGGAAACAAGTTGTTCTTTTATTGCCCATTTATATCATATATAATTGAAAGATGAAAGATACATATGGGCTGTAATTTTTGGTTCAGTAAACTTATTTAATCGAAAAAAACAAAATACAAGTTTATAAGTTACACTAATCGGTCCCATGAAAATAGTTCCGATGGCCAATCCTTCCAATTTTCTATTTTATCCTTGAACGAAATCTAAATGATGGAGATGTGGGTTGTTTTCCCTCCATCATCCAAAACAAGGCGCCGTTTACTTGATGAGTACCGTGCTGTCACACCCCTAAAACAGAGAGTGACCGGCATAAGATGTGAATTGTATTATACACCCCTTAAGCCTCAAATTAAGTAAAATTTCACTTTTCAAAAATATAATTATATTTTTATTGAAATTATGATATCTTTAACAATGATTGTTTTAATAAAAGTTTTAATATTTATAAAAATTTCGGCAGAACCTTCTTTATAAATAAGATTTTCCAAAATCTCTATAACAGAAATTATTATAGTATGCGTTCAACGGTTGAAACTATGTTTCCCAGATATAAACAGTCAACATAATAGAACAAAAATCAGGATCCTAACTATAGTTAACGTGGAGCTCCTAAAGCATAAATTTTTTTTTATAAAACATCTAATTGAATGTTTACCTTAAAAGAGAAGGGATTTACAAAAATAAATATTTATCCAGCATAGTTGCAGGCCCTTAAAGGTCGGCAAAAAGTCTAGCATCAATTAATAAATCTGAGATCAAAATAATTTCAGTGAATAGCATCCCCAAAAAAAAATTTAACAGAACAAAATAATAAACTTACTATTATGTGAAATAATTGAAAGGAAATTAATTCAGATTAATAACTCACAATATCTAGAAATATCAATTATAATAATAAAACATGAATACGTTAAAATTTCTCGAATCTGATATGTTAAAGGAGGATAATTTCCTCATAATTGAGTAAAAGTAGCAAACTTACTAACTGCAAATATTGAAAATTCAATTATACTAGCTGAAAACAATCAATATAATATAATCATGAATTTGAAGATTAAGAAGTTCCATATAACTTCAAAGTACTAAACCACCAAATTGATAATAACAAAACAGTTCAACTCTTTGTGCTGGTAAAAAAAATTAAATAAATAAATAAATAAAAGTACCTTTATTAAATAAAACCAATGAAGCATTTATTCATAAATCAATTAAAAGCTAATATTTTTAAGGACTTTTGCAGAACAAGTATCAAACGTGGACACACAGTCCATGAGGGTAAAATAACCAAACGCGGCTTATGCCACAAAAACAAACGTGGACACACCAGTCCGCGAGGGTAAGTAACCAAACGCGGCTCAAGGCCACGAAACAAACGTGAACACACAATCCACGAGGATAAGTAACCAAACGCGGCTCAAGGCCATGAAACAAACGCAGTGCGAGGCTCGCGAATAACAAACGTGAGAACATAGCTCACGAAAACCAAACTAGCTAGTCATTAACTAAGGCGCACCAAGGGCTAACGGAACTGCCGTTAGCAACAGTGTTCTGCTTAAAGTCCTCGTGAAATCACTTTTCAAACATGCGAGAATAATCATTTTTGAAATACACTTTGTGTTCTCAATATCAAACTCGCATGAATCATTTCAAATCTCAGAGTTTGCCAAAACATTGTTTCATAGCAAATGTATAAGCTTGTACTAGTTGAGTAACCAAAAATTTCAAGAGTAAAATAAACAAAGATACCTCCATCAATCTTGAAAATATATTTCATAAAGAAAATACATGCATATACCATAATTTAATTAACTTTTACCATCATTCTAAAATTTTCAGAACCAAAATGATTTCATTAACAAAGTACGTAATAATCATCGTAGTTGTTAAAATGATTTATATGAAAATGTAATATTTTCAAAAACAGACTGCTTTAATTGAAAAATGATGGGGTGCTATTCACTTACCTATTAAATTCCAAACCCAATGATTTCCTTCCTCAATTCTTATCAAGAGTAGGGGTGTTCATAGGACGGGACAGGATCGGGACACCCCCGTCCCGTGTCCCGTCCTGAAAAAAAGATCGGACTGAATTTTGGTCCCGTATCCCGTCCCGTCCCGAAAGTCATCCCGTCTCATTAAGAGTCGAGACGGGATCGGGACAAGATCGAGATGTCTCACCGTCCCGATAAATGGAATAATGTCGAAAAATGATATGGATAATAACGTTCATTAAAATTTTAAATGATATAATTTATTAAGTTTAAAATCAAAACAACACAAGCACATAAACAACAATAATTTAAAATCAATTATTGAATTATATTAATCACAACTACATATTATAATAACAAATACAAGTGATCTTTATGCTATAAGATTAGCAACAACAGGTAAGTCAAACACAACATCAAATCATTGTTCTTCTACTTTAGTGAAAATGTACTAAGATAATTACTCTTCTAAAAATAAGCAAGAAATATGTTATAAATAAAAGTTATTAAATAGATAGAAATAAGAATAAATTACATTAATATAATTAATATATTATAAAGAAAGATATTGCCATATTTACTCCATACCATTAAAATTATCAATATAAAAAAATTTTAGTTTTAAATAAGAATTGCAAGTATTAAAAATATAATTGATATACTTAATATAAGTATAAATTATATTAATATAATTAATATATTTAAAATAAAAAATAATATATATAATATTCAAGATGGGACGGGACGTCCCGATGGTAATCCCGCGTCCCGTCCCGTCCCGAACCTCTTTTCTGTCCCGTCCTGATTATTTTCGGGTCGGGACAAGACCCGTCCCAATATGATCGGGACGATACCGGGCCAATCGGGACAGATCCAGACTGAACACCTCTAATCAAGAGACTCATCTTCCACATATCCTATATGAATAAATGAAACCTCAATTTGCTTCCTATAGTTATATAAACTTTGTTCCATTACCAACACAATCCCAACCACTTAGAAGTATTCAAGATTTCAAAAACCAAAATTTATATCTTAATGGTCTCCAAACATCATCACTTACCATCAAGTTACCTCATATCATACCAATCATAACTTCTATTTAAATAAGATATGATTTTTCTTATACCTTGTGTCAAACACCTTGGGTGCAAAATTTCCAAACACCTACAATTAAATTTATCATGCTTATTTTGCCCATTTCTCAAATATCTTAAATTTATTCTCAAGATCGAATGATAAACACCTCTTTTTCGTATGAATTTATAAAATACTCAACATAAATCTTCTAAAAGTTCAGCTAACCATAATATAACTCAAGAATCAAACTTCTTACAATGCTCAAATTAAAACTCACATAAATAAAATTTTGAATCGGTCATGCCGCTCATCCTACTACATAGAATTTCAAAAAAGTCTAAATCTAGCAAAACTATTCAAACAAGCATCTTACCGAACACCTTATAAACACCAATCTCAATCTCATGCCTAAGCCCTTCCCTTCCAACTTCATCCCACCAAATCCTCAAAATCAATCAATCCAAATAAAATTACTTTATCATAAAATTCAGACCCACATATACCATCATAAACCTATAAGATATTCTTCGAACTCAACTTTGAATTTTCATTTTTTTCATTTTTCATTTTTTATATATATTTTTTTTCTACACAGCACGGCCGAAGGCAGAACCAAAAGAAAAATTTAAAATTTCATCTCTATCACTTCACCCAATCACACGCACAAAATTTATCCAAGGAAAAGAAAAGAAATCAAAGCTCCTCACCTCATATAAACCCAAACGCACGAACAGGGAGAGGAAGAAAAACCGAGCCTGCACAGAGGAGGAAAGGAGATCGTCGTTGAGTGTAGAGAAGAGATGAACAGATCGGTGACTGATAAAACAAGCAAAAGAAAGCAAACCATCTCACACTCATCCATACAGTCACCGACAGCGTAGAAGAACGAGCTTCGACGAGCTAGAACAGAGGAGAAGAAAGGAACAGAAGCCACGAGTTGCTGGATCAATACCGGACAAAACAGCGACAAACATACACACGCCGGCGAAGTTGTAATCGGAAGGATGAAGGAGAAGGTGAAGCAGAAGAACCGAGCATTAGAGCTTCTCTCTCTCTCTCTCTCAGTCGTGAGTCTGGAAAAATCAAAGGAGCAGAGGAGAATATATCAGATTTGAGAGAGGGGCAAATTGGTAATTTCGCAGAGGAAAAAGGCAAAAATAATAGAATATATCAGATTTGAGAGAGGGGCAAATTGGTAATTTCGCAGAGGAAAAAGGCAAAAATAATTCTCCTTCTGGCTTCCAGCAAATTCAAACTTGGACCTATCAGAGGAATACTTGCACAGCCACCACAACACCAACTTTCCTTGTTGACATATTTGTTTCAATAATTACTATATTTACAATTAATACACATTATTACATATTTTAATTTTAAATATTTTTTTTAGGTTATTACACGTGCGCTCATCGCACAACTGAGCAAGGAAACTGAACCCGACATTTTTGCCATAGCCGTGATTGTTGAATGTGGATGTTGAAAATATGTTCCCACCTTTTGACGTGAAGCAAGTGATAGTATTAACGACGTTTATACAATTTGCTCATAAACTTGAAAATGCCAGCACTCACCATTTTCAAATGGTTCAAATTTAATTTCAACGGAATAAAATCCTTAAAAAACTGATTAACCGGGTTCAAACTTTAGTTCATCCACGCGAGTTTTGTCTGCTTCTGAAGAAAGAACTGTCACTTTCCATGATGGTTGCTACTTGCCAAGCTGATTCTGAAAGCAGGAAAAAAAAAAAAATCCACGACGGTCGCTGAAGTGCCATCTATGCAACTTGGTTGACATGCACAGTAAAACTAAATAATACTATTCCCCGTCCATTGCTTCTCCAGAAGTATCTGTTTCGTCATCATTCTTTGATTGTATATGTGACTTCGTATATTCTATGTTTCGTGGAAAGAGACAACTTCTACGCATGCAGACACACTCCTCAATAATTTACGCCCTATATTAAAATATTCGGATTCCATCCTCTATATAATATTTCTCCTCATCGAGATCCACTCGATATACCAGCAGAAGCCAACTGCCCCCTATAAATAAACCTGCATCTATCCCATCTAGTTGACAAAACAAACAAGCATACTCTATATAGAACAAAATTACAACAAGGTTCACTTAAATATACGAAACATCCAGTATTAATATTTGTTATTTACACATACTTCCTCATTATTTTGGGGGGCGGGTTATTTTAAAGCTGCCCGTTCAGCCTTGAACTCACTTCTCTTAAAATGAAACCACCTCATCAAGTATATGAAAGTGGAACTGGCAGGGTGAAGGGGGAGAAATAAACAGAAACATATATATGACGATATATATATATATAAAAGAGGAGTGCTGACTCCACGACTCAAGCTCTTATTAACTCAAGGTGCAGTTAAACATGATGGGTCGGAGTTGTGTTGGGCGGCGTTGGGGCGGAGGCGACACGCTTGCCTCTCTCAGAACGGCTGTTCTCTGCGAACTTGAGACTCTGCTGGTGCAACCCCTTTTGTCTCTCTTCTTCGTTCCATTCAGATGCATAATAGTGCTCCTCTGTGGACTTATCCATGTCTTTAGAAGGAGGAAGGAACATGCTGCCCCACTGAGGGAAGTGAATGAGACTCACCGGAAGAGTGCACGCCACTATCATGACGCCCATCCAGGACAGACCCGCAGAGGTGGAGAGTCTGGAGGTTGAGAAGAAAATCAACTGGGTTAGCCCCGACCCGAAGTTTCCGCCTGCCCCCGTTAGACCAGATATGATGCCCAGGGAGCGCCTTGAGATGAAAGGGATGATGCCGAAAGTTGCACCGCAAGCAGCTTGAGCTCCGAGGGAGAATAATATCATGGCTACGATGGCGACGGGAAGAGAATTGGCACGTCCCAGCCAAATGCAGAAAGCACCTCCTAGAGTTTGAAGGATCCAGAGGGCCCAGAGCCTTCCTCTCATCCCAAATAAACGAGCAGCAAGATCGGAAGCATACCCGCCGAAAGGACGAGCAACAAAGTTAGCCATTCCGAATGAAGCAGCAATGATTCCAGCGGTGTGCAGCTTCAGATTGAACCTGTACTTCCATGTGCATTTGTTAATTGTTACGTGTATGGATGGGTAAAACTATCTGAAATTATTTAGAACATTATAGAGTTGAGCTTGCTGACCTATCATAGAAATATTCTGCAATGACATTGTCAGTGGTTAATTCAACTCCCATAGAGTATCCGTAGAGTAGGGCAAAAATCCAAGTCCTGTAATTCGTTATCGCATACCACAACACCTGGACACGCACAAATCGAAAGCCAATTCAACATTTTTCACAGACCGTGCATTATCTTTTAAGGAGAAGAAGTACATGCACCTCATCTACAGGCAGTCTCTAAATCCAAGGGAAAACCAGATTCATACTACTCATTAATGTTTTTCTGTCAAGAGGGAAAAAGCCCAGGAAGTACATGCTTCATTGACTTGCAAATTACAAAAATTTCAAAGTGGAATCTTATATTTTCAAAATTCAAAGACTAAATAGTTGATATCTTGAAACATAAATATCTTTTCAAGGGGGTGTGCAGTGTGTGTTCAAATTGAGGAGTTGAGAGATATATAGATGTGGTTACCTTGGAGAACTTGTCTTTAGCGACATCACCCTTCTTCTGCAAAGCACCAAGGTTGCCATCAGGCAGGTCTTGGCCAAGGGTCAAGACGAGGATTCCCATGATGACATGCATCCAACCTGGGACAAAAAAGGCAATTCTCCAGGCAACAAAGGGAGTAGATCCTGCTCTCTTGATCAATTCATACACCAATGGCATTAAAAGCTGAGTGGCCCCACCTCCCATGTTGCCCCACCCAGCTGCCGTCCCGTTCGCAAGCCCTATTATCTTACTGTTAAACATAGTGCTCATCCAGTACTGACACGACACAAAAGTGGCCAACGAAAACCCTATCATGAACCGTATCGCTATGTAACCAGCAGCATCTTTCACGAACGACATGCAGAACACTGTTGGTGCGGTAAGCATTATGAGAAAGGCGCAGCCATAACGGGGACCTAAGAGGTCGCAAACTGCACCCATCATAAGCCTAGAGAAGATGCTGCCGGAGACGGAGGCGACTCCCGCATTCCCAATGTCGTATTTGGTGAGATTAAGGTTGTCACGGATTATGGGAACCAGAGGAGCTGCTGCGAAGGTTGAGACGAAGCAGGTGAAGAAGGAAATCCAGGACAGGTGGAAGGTTCTCATGTGGGGATTGGCAAAAGAGAAGAGCTTGAAGACTTTAGCTTTGTGCTCAGAATCAACAGGGAGAGCGAATTTGGCAGTGTGGTCTGAAGGGACCATCGGGGAAGAAACAGAGGACACGAAGGTCTGTTCTCTGCCGGTGACCCCATGCATGGAGCTTCCTGGAAATCCCTCACTCTCAGCCATTGGGAAAGGAAGAGAGGGATGGATCAAAGTGAGAAGGAACGAAGTGGCCTTGAAATGAATGAACGGGTGTTAGAGTTGTGAAGGGGAGGGAAGGAGGGGTTGGTATATATAGGAGCGAAGGCGTTGACAATGTAAGAGGGTGATGGGAGCCAATGGGAACCCCAACAGGTGAGAGAAGGGATTTCAATATAATTTAAGAGATTCCATTTCGCCGCATCTAACAGGGAGGAGACTCGTCGAGCATCCCAAAGGATCACTTCAACCGGATTCACAGAACCTTCAAACTCGAACATACTTTATTTTTGTGTTCTTGCTATACTATTCTCTTTGATTCTATTTACAAAGAGAGAGAAGGATTTTTTTAACTCTTTCATTAAATGTTGGAGAAAAAAAATATGTGATTAAAGTATGTATATTTAATAAGGATAACGTCAAAAACTTATTAAATTTTAAAATAAAATTAATAAATTTTAATGTTTTCTTTAGTAAAATGAATTTTAATGTTTTCTTTAATACTAATAAAACATGTTGAAAATAATTTATAAATAATATTAGATGAGTTTATAGTATCCATGGAAGTATCAGTCTGTCTCTCCATGGGCACGCAACTTGTATCTCAGCTTAATATCCGTGTTATTAATTAACAGTTCATTTAATTTCAGCAACCTAACTGACATGATGATTTTGGATCACTTGAAGCTCGTAATAGTCACCACCACCATGCATGGTGATACCCGTTGACACGTTTTGCTCTCGCAAGAATTATATATATTTGTGAGGCAACAGAAGCCAAACTGTCTATTAGTGTCGTGTTTTAGACTGGGTGGCACTGAACCAGTGAAGCAATGCGAGGATACGATAATGTATGGGCACTTCTGTTCCATAATTTCAGATGCCATTTATATTTAGGGAAAATGACGCAGGCTTTGAAGTGAGGATCCATAATTCATATATACATATATGCACACATATATTGTCCAGATATGACATGTAGGTCGTGCTACCGCTAACCGCCACTCAGCAGCCAACACTCGGAGTGCATGGAGAATAGACATATACTATATTAACATAATATGATAAGATGTAGCCATTTGCAAGTCAAACCAACAGGTTTTGATTGCCTTTTATTCCGCCATTTCAAATTATCTTATAAGAATTTTTTTATCTCAAAATATAAAATAATTTGTAAAAATTAAAATTTATTAATAACACTTTTTTAATATTACCCTTTAATTGAAGAAGGAATTAAAATAATATTGTAGCATAATGATTAAGTATGAAGGGATATTTTTAAAAATTTATAGTTTTCTTTTGAGAAATTAAGTTTGTAAAATATTATCATTGTGTTTTATTAATATAGATAATCTTGTTTCAAATTATCTTATAATTTGAAATGAAGGGACTAATATTTTATATCATTAAACTCAAAATGTTTTTAATTAATTTGTTGATTATTAATCTTTGAAATTATAAAGGTTCATTTTGGATATTATATTAATTAGTGAAAAAAAACTATGTAAAGTATAATCAATACTTTTAAATTTTTCTGATTTGTATGTATGGATGGCTATAGAATAATATTTTTTTTTAGAATATCGTTTTGAAAAAAATCTGTGTCAATCATGCAAGCAGTTGACCCAAAAGCAATAAAAGGAAATGACTCTTCGGGACCACCACACCCAATTAATTTTATTTCAGGACCAAAATATTTTAATTTTAAAAATAATAAAGTCAATAGTAAATTGTAAAAGAGTATTGTCAAATCCCTTCAATTATATTATCAGGTAAACAATAATTTTCAATCAATTAGAGCATAACTTGTAAAATTTTGACATATTAATATTAAATTTAGCTAGGTGGTATAAAGTTTATAAATGTAGGCACTATTTTTTAAACATCGTATTCTTATTATCTTCGATGGATGTTAAAATTTGAAACATCATTTAAGAAAATTTCAAACTTTGTGTCAAATTTCAGGAGACTGAATACTTGGTTTGATCGATACATATATCGTATATGAATTTTACCGATCTTCCGAAATTTACCAAAATAATAATTTTTAGGGAGAAGGATATTTAAGCAATGTAATCATTAATATTATTAAGAAAATTATTAAGGAGCTTTTGGCCCTTTATTAAAATTAAAAAATGTAGTGCTGAATCATAATGAACACCGTGGATTGGTTTCAAGGGGTCAACCTCCCAAAAAACAAATTCGAATAATGAGGCCATAGACTTGTGCATTCCCTTAAACTCGTAATCAGGGAAAATAGCATTCAAGAATTTTTGTGTCAAATTTAGATTACACAAGGATTAAACAATTTGATATTTGCTCTATAGTCCTCTAGCCCTTATTTCATATTAATTTAGTAAATAAAATGATGAAATTGCTCCTCAAGTTAAACAAAGAAATCCTCACTACCATTTGCAGTCAAACCACTGCTAGGCGCTAGCGATGAGGTTATCAAGGCCCCTACAAATAATTTTTTAGGTGGCCAAGAGAGGATTTGATCTCATGACTTTTGACCACCTAAAAAGTTTAGTAGTCATTAGGCCACCAATCTTTTTAATTATATATAAAAAGAAAAATATAAGTAATAAACCAAGCTTTTAATCACTTCTATATTAAAACATAACAGTAATTTATTAATTTCTGAACGAAACTTGTTATTTTATAAACGTTATTTGTTAATTTGACATTTGTAATTATAAATTGAAAGCTTTATAACTTCACGCATTTTACTTATTAAAAGTCTAAAAGTATTGTTGATAATCATAAATAGGTTATTGTCAAAGCTCAAACGGATACTTATTAATGAATGACTAACATATATAAGCAAGTCATTTCTATCAATTTTTCTAACTTATTAAAATCAAAATAGATTATTGTTAATTTTGAATGAATTATTATAAAAATTTAAATGTACACTTGTTAATGAATGACTAACACATATAATTAAGTATATCTTATCCATTTTCCTAACTTATTAAAGCTTGAATGAATTGTTGTTAATTTAAAATGAATTATTATCAAAACTCAAATAGATACTTATAGTTAATAATTAAAAGCACAGGTCTAATAGACTGTTGCTTTTCTAACTTGTTAAATCTCAAATGGACTGTTGTTAATTTAAAATAAGTTATTATTAGAATCAAAATAGATACTTATTGATAAAAGACTAACACATATAATTATGTCAATCTATATATTTTTCTAGTTTGTTAAAACCCGAATAAACTATTGTTAATTTAGAATGTATTGTTGTCAACATCTGAATAGATATTTGTTGATAAAAAAAATTAACCTATACAATTATGTTTATCCTATACCTTTTAATTTAAGGACAATTCTATTATTTTGCTTAAGAAATTAATATGAAAGAAGGATCAAAAAACTGCAAAGCAAATATCAAATTATTTAATCTTTATGTGATATAAATTTGACATAAACATCCTTGAATGTTATTTTCCCTCGTCGATAGTATAAGAAACCGCACATATAAACGCAGGCTGTCTCTGTCGTTTGGAAATAACCGAACCTTGCAGAAGTCCATGGCGCCAGAAACCCTTTCTATAATATACCCAAAGTACTCAACCTAGCCCTTCATGACCTCTTAGAGTTGCTTCCTCTTTTTCTGCTCAATTATTTTGCATTCACAAGTACATACACAAACAGTACTTCTGACTATTTCATGCTCTATTGTGATTGCGTTGACTGAGAAATACAATAATTGAAGTCCCCGGGCCCCCGGGGGGGGGGTAAAAAACATCTGCAGAGCAAGGGTCCCACTGCATATTCAAAATCAAAACCTCAGAAGTTGTGGCTAAAATTGGTTGCCTCCCCGGACCGACACTGTTGGGTCAACTTTTAGCGCTTATCTATGGATACGGCCATTGCATATTATAAGCACTCTTCATTCTACAGTGTATACAATTCATCCGAGTCCATAGATAACTCCACTTCCCCTTGCATGATAAGGCGCTGGAGCAACCACAGTTGGAGGTATACAACTCATTCGTGGTCTTTGCTGGAGGCCCCGACGGCCATTACCACACATATATGCATGTCAACCAACATATCTGTTGCTCTTGGTCTATTTAATATAAATATTTTATTTAAAAATACGTGCATTTTGTTCCTTTAATTGTTCATTTTCCGCATACATTTAATAATTAACAATAACAATAATAATAATAATATAGACGATCCTTAGACATTCAGCTGGGTATTGTACATTAATCAATAGCGCTTTGGATTATGCCAGGGAGAAGGCTACAATCCACACTCTTTCACGTCATGTTTGTGCTTCGTACTAATCAACAACTTCAAAGAATCACATTAGCTTATGGGATCAATTATATATATATATATATATATATATATCATATTCACATTCAGAGATTTGATTATGTTTTCCCCAAATTAAACACGCGCGGGCGCGCGCGAGCAAGCAACAGCACCATTCCGAATTATTCTCACTTGGTGCCGCTCACCTGAAAGCCTGTTTCTGCCGTGGCTTGGTTTGACCAATAGTTACAACGTAGCACGAATCTTACTCAGCAATGACAAATAGATAACCAAAAACACCATTATGATGAGTCAGCAAGTCGAGAATAATGCTATTTATATAATGCCAATCATCCTTTATTCCGCATTTTCCAGCTGAACAAGTAGTAGGAAAGATCATGAACAGAGTATTAAAAATAGATAGCCTTATCCGGGAGAAACAGTGAAAAAGAGGGAGCGAAAGAAAGGAATAAGCTCAAACCATTGCCATAAAACACTAAACAGAATAAACAAATATGGAATACCCTGACGTGATCGGAAGTACTTCAACTGCCATGGGGCACTAATATTTTCCTGCTAACTGAGATATCTAGTCTATAATATCTAATTTCAATGCAGAAGCATTACTAACGAACAAGGCTGGAGGGTAATAATCAGTAATCACTATAAGCACATCAAATGCTTGTACTCCCCCTTGTTTGGACTGGTTTGTAAAGAACAACTGTAACATATTTAGAACGGAAGCGATGAGTAAATCCCAATGCCACCATGGATCTTGGGGCTTCACTGTTCTCAATGTAAAGATGATTCAGGATCACATTCTGGGGTAATGGTAGTGTTCCTGCAGTGTCTCTGCTAGCAGGATAGCTGAGTAAAGTGTGCTGCAAATGGGGAGGGACCATAGGTGGATCACGAGTTTCATCATCATTACCAGGGTATGCGTTTGTATAGCTCGAATCAGGTGATTTTGGAACTTCAAATCCCGCCACAGTTGCTTCACCCTGCGGGCAGGTTATGCCTTAGACCTACTAATGAGAGGTCGTTGCTGTAATTATCAGGAATGAATCACTTACATGGTCATCAGTCAACGAATTGTTCATCTTGCAAGAGGAACCAAACACTAGTAGCGTGAATACATCAATTGAAACCCAGCTAAGATTCTGAGAAGCCTGAAAAATACCAATGTTTCCTTCATAAGCAAGCAAAATGAACTTAGAGCACATGTTCCTATGATAAGATATCAATATAAACCTACTCTTCAATGTTTAATCTAGTTTACATGCATAGGGATCATTTCCAAAAGCTATATCCCAAGATAATTGCAATGTATTCTGAGAACCCATAACAATAACAAGAAAGCAAGGCCGACCACAATTAAAAATAGTTGAATGCACAATAAATTGCAGCACGTGTTACATAATGGTGATCAAGTGCTAGGCGAGCACTACTGGTTTCCCACTCCCTCTATCCATAACTTAAAAATCTCCATCTAAGATATATCTAAAGCCCCGAATTCAGACATCAGATGTAAATACAATAAATTCTTTTCTAGTAAACCACCTAAAGCCGATTAACTAAAAGCTTAAGCATATACCAGGATACCAAAAGAATCATTCTCATCTTAAAAACTACAACTTTTTCCTCCTTTTACACCAAGTAGACCATTTTGTTAGCTTCACAAAACTTGATTGGCAAATAAACAATCAATCTATTAGAAATTTCTTAATTTATAATTCCTTAGGATTCTTAGTTCTAGGATAGTTACCACATATTACAACAACACAACAAAATGGCTAAAATCATCAGAAGGAAAAAATGCATGTCATAATGTATATACGATTTTTCCATGCACTTCTCTCTCTTCAGTCAACCTAAGTCCCACTGTCCCAGCTCATTTTCTTTCCTCATCAGTCATCAAACATCACTGCTACTGACACCTGAGCAGCAAACCAACTTAAGGAAACCACCCCGCCCCAAGAAGGGAAAAGAAATATGACAATGGATACATAGAAGAAAGCCCCCAGACCAATGGGAATCAATTTAAGAAAGATGGGCCACATGAACTGACATTTTCCCAATAAAGTAAAGGATTGAAACAGAATAAATCAGGATTTCGTGGGTTAGGATCAAATCAATCAACCAGTGAGTCAGCCAACACTTGGGGATTCATTGATTCAACTGAGGACATCAAAAGCTGCAGTCTATGACTGAAATCCCCAGCAAGTTCCATTTTGCTAAATGTGATCCGCAAACAGTTTTAACTTCCAAACTCATATTTCAAGATAATTCTTTTACAAGCGTAATGAAGGATTCATTGTTGTTAAGGGCATGATAAAGTTTATAATAAAAATCTAAATATTATGGAAAGGTATAGGCAAATAGAAGCATACAACTCATTAGTTGAAAAAGTCTTGGGTCTTTTGATGAAAGTAATGGTATAAAAAATATGAAAATATGGGATTGGAATTAGGGGAAATAAGTAAAGTATAAAGTAAGAATCTTAATACCATATCTCATATCTCATCTGACAAGAAATAAGACAATTAGGGGGAAAGATAAGCAGGAAAAAGAAAGATAACCAAGGATAGATCCAGCCGAACAAAACAACATAGAGCCCGTCGAAGGACTCAATTATGTCCATAGACTCCAGACTTCCACAAACTAGCACAAGTGCGTGCGCAACTCCAATCCCCAATCAAATTGAGAACGCAATCAAATTCAGACGGGCTGCTGAATTCTCCAGTTTGAGAATCAAAATAGAAAGTAGAATGCACATGATAAAATTTCTTGGTAGAGAAACAAAAGCATATACGCAAGCAAGCTAAAAAATTTGAGCAACAGAGAGCGAGTAACACAAGTGACAAATTGGGAATATGAAGGGATGTTATTCTACTTGATACAATATCATTCACAAGTATAAACAAAATTCCATATATGTTTAAAACATGATTCAAAAGTGAATGACCTTGCAAGAGTCAGGTTCGAACGAATAAGCCGCAAGAATCAGATAGTGGAGGAATTTTATGAAACCTAAGGTTTATCACCAAAAAAAAAAAAAAAGAAGTACAAGCAATAGTCAAAGAGTTGATTAATGGAGAGAAAGATATCAACAATCAGCGACCAATCAATCAAAAAGCAAACCCGCAATGGCGCACGGGAGTTGCAGAAACAACGCCGGGAAGCTGGGGAAGAAGCCGGAACGATGGCCTCCCACAAAAAATAAGAACAAGCTGGACGACGAAAAGGCAGTTTCCAGAACATGACCTTCGACTTCGGGTTCCCCGACCCCATCAGTTTTCAATTCGGCCCAATAAGGCCCACAATTTTAAGCATCAACCACTAAAGACTCCGAAACCAGAACCAATTTGCACCAGCCACGAAAGCCTGCACTCTAGTCAACTTCAATAAAATCATTAACTTTTTTTTTTTTTAATCTTGTTCGGCTTTTGCAATGTAATTTGCGTAACGTTGTTAACTACTAGTATAGCAGCAATGGTGAAAAATTTTTAGTTTTTTATTTTTATATAATTGAGGGAATGTGGGATTCATAACCAAAAAAGTGGATATTGGACCCCTAATAAAAATATGGATGATGAATGCGAGAGCTATAATAAAATATTGGGTGTGGTAACGCACGATGAAATTATAAATTTTATTTATACAAATTATAAAAAGTTAGGCGTGCAAATGTGAAAAAAATGATATGAAATTTAAATTTTACAAGTAATAACAAACTCCAGGCAGAAAAATTTGTTGGGTGTCTTTTTAATATATACAAAATAATAAATTGAAAAAAAATAGGGAGAATGGCAGTGAGGGTTTCCCGAGGAAAAAAATAACAGTGAGGGCCAAACACAACTAAAGGTTTATTTATTTATTGGTATAGGTTCATCGATTCATATGTAAAAAGTTATAATAAATTTATAATTTGTAATAAAATTATAAATTTAACTAGCACGTATTGTTAGAAAAAAAAAATCAGGTGTGCAAGCAGTGATACAAATGGTTTTTATACCATGTATTTAGTTTGTATTTATAACATGTATGATAAAAACTATATCACAAAATAAATTTTTATTTATATTTTTAGCATTCACAAAAAAAAATGCAGATGTGAGTCTCATGGTGAAAAAAATGAATCATGGATGGAGGAACTACAGTTAAAAAAAAAGTGCGGAAGCCGTAATAAAATTATAAATTTAATCTATATACAACTCAGTAAAAAAGGTTAGTGTGCAATAATGGGCGGAAGATTTTTGTTGTTTGATTAGCGCTGTATTTTGTTCATGGGAACGTTGGATTTATGCAGCTGAGCTTTTGCTTAGAATTACTATAGCTTGATCATGGATCAGTGGATGATAATTCCTACCTTTAGTGTTAGTGTCATGTTTGCTAAGTCAATTGTATTCTTACTTGTCCTAGCTAGAATGTGAGGAATCTAAATGGGGTTTTACCATTGTCTTTCAAAGGAGTATAGGAACAGAAAAATTAGACTAAACATTCAACTAAATCATGCTGTAGCGAGTGCTTGGTCATTGAATAACTTGATCTACTTGCATTGTAAGATAGGAAGTAATGTACTTACCAACTCCACATAGTCATATAAGACATGTGCTTAGTTAAACACGATTAGGTAATCACCTTGTGAATTAGGGTGAACAGGGGTCAACCCCCAATTCCTTAATTAAACTATGTAATCTTGTTAAGTTGTGTTTTTATCAGCAAGTAAAGAGAGAGGAGAAGTGATATTGCTTAGCCTTATCTTGACAGATGAACTAGAAGTTCAAGAGAGAAAGAGAGATCTTTGAGATTAAATTTGAAAAATGGCTTACTCTGCTTCCTTCAAAAATTCTCCCAATAGAGAATCACAGCCAAAGAAGCATGGACACCAATCTTGAACGCGGATGTGGCGTGTCCATTTTTTTTTTTGTCGATAAGGTCAGTATGGGTAGGTACGGGTAGACACGGGTGGGTACAGGTATCCACTTTTCTTTTCTATAAGCTTGGGTAGACAAGAATGTTATGAGACAAGATTCCTCCACAGTGGTATGTGTGATTATTCTCCTGTGATAAATATCACGAGGAGAGCCTCCCCAAGTTCGATCCTCGAACCTCTCCTACTTAATAAGTTGAAATTGAACCTGATACCACTGAGCTAACTTGGCATTTTTTATGGGGAATCTTCCAGTCCTAAAAGGTTCCTCCATCATGTCCAAGCTATAGTTGATCACACTATTAAAATGTTTACTCTTTTTCATGTGCTGATGTAATCAGTGGCGGAGCCATATACATGTGATGGGGGCAAACTCACCCCCTCACATGGAGAAAATTACATATAAGGTGTGTGAAATTTACAATCTTACACCTTTGATTCAAGAATTTTCAACCATCTAGACTTAAGAAAAAATATTTGGGTTCAATTTTTTTCAAATATATGATATTTCAACTCATTTTCCATAAATTCAAACTAAAAGATTTAAACTCATTGGACATATTATTAAAAAAATGGATCAATCAAGAGTTGTTTTGTTTAATAATAAAATCCAACCAAAGCAAATTAAGCCATATTTTTGAATGATAGTTTTCTTTTCTTTCAAACATAAACTTTGTATCAACCTTCTCCATACATTTTTGCCCAACAAATCATCAATATATTTTTCCATATAAAAGTATGCATAATTTTACTTATATTACTATACTTTTTGCCTAAAGTAATTATTTTTTTTAAATTATCATATGTTTTTTAAATTATTAATTTTTAAATTGAATTGTGTTGCATCTCCTAACTTCATGTCATAGCTTTGCAGTGGGATGTATTAGTGCGTGTTTGGATGACATTGTAATTTAGGTTTGGATGGCATAAACCTAAATTGGAAGGTGAAAAGTTCAAATAATCCTATTTGAATGAGGAAAAAATTTTAAGGTAGATAACCCATGTGTTGACAATTACAATCTTATTACTAGGGATTCTTGATGCAAACACCAATTGCAAGAGTTAATCTTGCATCGGACAACTTATTCTCAGAGATTGAAGTATTTCTTTTAATTTCTCTTATAATAATCTTAGTTTTTCTTATTTTTAATATTATTAGAAATGGTTTGTATAACCATAACTTTTTTGACACTTTTTACATTCAACCCACTCAATTAAAGGAGGGTATAGAGTGAAAGGTGGTGCTCTTTATTGGGCTTTGCTTTTTTGTACAGTTTACATTGTTTATAATTGAGCTTTATTTTCATTCAAAAATGAGGGAAAAATCTAAACCAAGGCTACTTTTTCCCTAAAGCTAGAAATTGTAGCTTTTGAGGTTGGGTTGATGGCCAACGTTTGGCCATGTTAAAAATCATAACAAAAATGTCATGATATGACGTTATAATTTTATAATGTTCTGCATATGTTTTATTTTTATTTTTTAATTTAAATATTTTATTTTCTAAAAAATTATATATCATTTTCATTTTAAATTTATAGATTTATTTTTACTTTTGATAATTGAATATTATCATTTAATTATACCATGTTAAAAATTAATATTTTTTACTTATTAAAGTTTTTTATATTTGTAATTTTCTTTTTAATTAAAAATGTAATTTTAATTAATATTCTTTCTTGAAAACATTAAATTAGTCACAATAATATACAACAAAACTCATATCTATTTTTGTTATAATACGTTTCAATTACTTTTTAATTAAATCATTTAAATAAATTTTAATTTATCGAACTAACTTTTAAAAAGATATATTAAAATATAATTTACTTTATAGTCACCAACTTTTTTTTCTAACCTCAATTTACTCAATTTAATTAAATCTTAACTTTAATTATAAATTTTTTAATCCAAACACAAACACTTAATGTTTTCAGTTTAGCTCTGTTGTAATTCTTTCTTGTTCCGGCTTGCACAGTTTTTCTGGGACTTTTTGGCTCCTCATGTTGAGTTAATGAAATTCCCATTTACTGGAAAAGAAAGAGACGGGGGTGCAAATCTTTTAAAACACATACACACACGGAGGAAGCGTCACTTTTGAAGTTTTATTCCGTCATGTGCTTACGTCATGACTTAGCCCGCAACAAATGAGACTAAAGGGGCCACGTAGCGTGGATCTACTCAATTCACGCGCTCGACTGCGACCCCATCAGATTCTCTCCTCTCCTTGACCTTGCTTACGCATCCCGACCGGCAATCGCGTTCAAAGTGGTATACCCCGTCCAGTTCAAAATCTACAGACAATATGCAACTTTATGTAGGTTTTGTATTACACGTAGTTTTATCAATGTAAATCACTGGCAAGAGAGGATTAAGAACCAGGAATGGTATATGTGTATGTATATATATATATATGTATGTATGTATGTATATAGTTTTTATAGTTTGTTTTTGCTTTCTTGTTAGCATATAATGGACATATTTTTCAAAATATATGTAGACTGGTGGGACTTGAAAACAAGAGGCCATTAGTACATTTTACTTGTCCCCACACACACACATATTCAATAAAAGCATAATTTAAATAAAGAAGTGTAAATGTATAATTACCTGCCTTTTATCTCGGAAATCAATTACTTAGTCTATGTAATTTTTATCTGGGTATAACTCAATTTTTAAATTTAATTTGGTACAACTTAATCTTTAAAATTTTAAACATGTGATAAATTTATTTTGATATTTTATGGGATTCAATTACAATTTAATCCTCAGATGACTGGATATTTATAAAAGTACATGGCCCAATCTATTAAACACTGGAAGACTAGATTATTAATGTTTCTATGTTATGCTCAATCCACTTGTTAATATAAGACAAATTTTAAAAACTTTTTTTGGTATATGATATTAGACAAATTTAAAGTAAATATTTTTTTTCAATTTTATCTCTCGTTTTAACTTATATACAATAATTTATTATGATTATTAATTATAAAGATTAAAATTTAAAAATATATATTTTAAAATAATTTTAGTAATAGAATTGTATTTGTCAACAAGCGTGAAGTTGGTTTCTTTACCTTATATCAATATGGGGAAGTACTTTATAAAAAAAAAGTACTTATTTTTTTATACTAAATTTTATTGTTCACATGATGAAAAAATCATAGAAAAAGGGAAGGTGTCAAGTGTCAACCTGTCCAGGGAGTGTCACATGGGGGTAGTGGGGAAGGGGCCGTGTAATTTACTAATTCAAAATTTAACCAAATATCATCATAATAACATAATTTAAACTAATAAAAATAATTATTATGGTGTAAAAAAT